CCCCGGGGGACAGATACCAGCCCCCCAGGCCAGGCTTTCCCACCTTCCCACCATGTCTCCCTCCCACCCAGACAGGAGGCCAGCAGAGCCAGGGTGTCTCTGTAAGCACTTTATTTGGTTATTGCACAGAAAGCAAACAACAGTGGGCTGAGGTTCCTAGTGCACCGTGTGTCTGTGAGCGTTCCTGCAGCAGCCAGCCTCTCCCAACTGAAGCTGGCTGCAGCCTGGGTCACCGCTCGGAGGAACAGTCATCACCCCCAGGCCAGGGAAGGACCCTGAGGACCCCACCAGCCCCTGTCCCAAGCAGCTAGAGCTCTGCATTGCACTCATCCATCAATTGCACATACATTAAATAAATGCACTTTTTGGAGAAGGGTGGTCGGTTCCCCTGGGGTCTCTTCTCCTCGGTTATTATTCAAGTGTTTACATGTGGCGCTCGGCGTATATCACATTCTGCTAGGGAAGCTATCGGCCAAACTGCTGGGGCAGGGCAGCGAGGGGCTGCATCTCTCACACGGACATATTGCTAAGGTAAAGCCTGGCCTGGTCGGGGGTCCCCACCCTGGGCCCAGCCATCAGAGGGGAGCAGAGTGGCGCCCGCGCCCAGAGGTGCTCTTTGGCGCCTGGGGCTCTGCTCACTTCTTCCCCACAGCGGGTGCCGGCTCTGGGGCTTTGCCCTCCTTGCTGGAGGGGGCCTCGGCCTTGGGGGGCTCTTTACTGGCTTTGGGCTCATCTTTGGGTTTCGCTTTAGCTTTGGGCTCCTCCACCTTCTCCTCGGCCTTTGGCTTCTCAGCCTCCTTTGCAGCCGCTTTGCTGACCTCCTGCTGAGGTTTTGGCAGAGCCTCCTCAGCCTTTCCTTCTTCCGCAGGCTTGGGGCCCGGCTTGGTGGTCTCCTTCACCTGTGGGGCCACAGGCTCTGGCACAGCAGCCGCCTTCTCTTTGGGCTTCTCCTCCACTTTGGCTGGGACATCCTTCTTGGGAGCTTCCTCTTTCCTGCCCTCCTCAGCTCCAGGCTTGGAGGGACCCTTCACCTCCTTGGGATGCTCTTCCTTTGCAGGGGCTTTTGACTCCTTTGGAGGGGAGGGGGTGGGCTCCTTGGCTGGAGCTGCTTCCTTCTGTGGAGACTTGGCCACCTCCTTCACAGGAGACTTTACTTTCTCAGGGGACTTCACAGCCAGGGTCTTGGCCTCCTCTTTTGAGGGGGTTGGGGGCTTCTCTGGGGACTTCACAGCTGGGGTCTTGGCCTCCTCTTTTGAGGGGGATGCAGGTTTCTCTGGGGACTTGACAGATGGGGTTTTGGCTTCCTCTTTTGAGGGGGGTGCAGGTTTCTCAGGGGACTTCACTGCTGGGGTCTTGGCCTCTTCTTTCAAGGGTGTTGAGGGTTTCTCTGGGGACTTCACTGCTGGGGTCTTGGCCTCCTCTTTTGAGGGGGGTGCAGGTTTCTCTGGGGACTTCACTGCTGGGGTCTTGGCCTCCTCTTTTGAGGGGGTTGGGGGCTTTTCAGGGGATTTGACAGCTGGGCTCTTGGCCTCCTTTGAGGGGGGTGCAGGTTTCTCTGGAGACTTGACAGCTGGGCTCTTGGCCTCCTCTTTTGAGGGGGATGCAGGTTTTTCTGGGGACTTGACAGCTGGGCTCTTGGCCTCCTCTTTTGAGGGGGATGGAGGTTTTTCTGGGGACTTCACTGCTGGACCCTTGGCCTCCTCTTTTGAGGGGGATACAGGTTTCTCTGGAGACTTGACAGCTGGGCTCTTGGCCTCCTCTTTTGAAGGGGATGCAGGTTTCTCTGGGGACTTGACAGCTGGGCTCTTGGCCTCCTCTTTTGAAGGGGATGCAGGTTTCTCTGGAGACTTGACAGCTGGGCTCTTGGCCTCCTCCTTTGAGGGGGATGCAGGTTTCTCTGGGGACTTGGCCTCCTCTTTTGCAGGAGACTTGGCCTCCTCTTCACCCTCTGCTTCAGCTTTCTTCTCTTCAGCTTTTTCCACTTCACCCTCTTTCTCAGCCTCTTCCTCCTCTGTGACCTCCTCAGTCACCTGTATTTCCTCTGTCTGCTCCTCCACAATCACTGTCTCCTTCTCAGATTTCTCCGCCACCTTGATCTTCTCCTCACTCTTCACCTTGATGTCAGTGGTGATGCTGGGAGCCTTGGGGACCACCTCAGGGAAGGAGATCATCCCAAAGCCAGACTCGATCCGATATTCCTCCCCTTCTAAGAGCTTTCTGCCAGGAAGAGACCAGAGAGCAGGGCAGTCAGTGATTGCTTCTCAGCCAGCTCTCACCTCCTCCCATGACCAGGAGATGCCAGCCATGCCCTGCAGCTCCATCTCCCTCCTTGCCCTGCTTTGGAGTTGCTGGCTGACCCTTCTGCTCCTACACCCTGGGTTGTGCAGTTTTCCTCACCCTTTTCTCCACAAGCCATGTGCAGGGCTGGGTCACCCAGTTGGATGTTGCCCACCATGGTCGTCTTGGAGGATGGATGAATGGTAGGTCTCTTTCTCACCAAGAGCAGCCCAGGTGTTAGTGAGGACCCTCAAGGAGTGTCCCCAGAGACACCAGCACTAGGGACTGGCTGAGACCCTTCTACCCTCCCCTTGCCCACCCCATACCTATAGGCAGCAATTTCAATGTCCAGGGCCATTTTGACATTGAGCAGATCCTGGTACTCCCGGAGTTGAGCTGCCATCTCCCATTTGGTGTTCCTCAGCTCACTATCAAGCTGCTGGATGGTTTCCTGTAGGCAGACAGAGCAACTGGTGAGATGGGGGGTGCCAGTCCCCAGGAGCAGAGGGACACAGGGCACCCCTAAACAGTCCCCTGGTCTCCAGAGGAGGGACTGCTCACGCAGCACCAGGGTGCCCTCACAGAGTGGTCTGCAGCCACCTCCCCCTGCAGACACAGAGGGAAGGGGACGCATCTAGGGGCTGTTTCAGTGTGTCCAGGTCCCTTGCGGGGACTGGCGTGAGCTCTGCACCACCTCCGATGAGAGCTGCACTGTGGCCAGCTGTGTCCCCTGCCCTCCCAGAGCTCCCTCCAGCAGGGGCAAGCTGTGGGAATGTTTCGAGGACTTGGGTGCATCTGGTGGCCACCAAACCCCAGCCTGAGGCTGATGGGGATGGGGCATCACCCTGGGGACAGTGTTTCAGTCCATGGCCATGACATTGTGCAGCCCTCTGTGCTGCAGCTCCCAGCTCTGGGACACAAGACACAGCCTGAACCCTGGGCATAGTTCATTGGTGTTTGTGACCAACACCACAGGCAGCTCAAGGCCAGACAGAGATGTGGGACAGCTCCATCATGGGTGAGGGACACAACAGCCTGGATGCAACCTCAGGCTCTGGGTACCAGATCACCAGGAGCTGGGGAAGGGTGGCTCTAGACACAACCCTGAGTATTTGCCACAGGTCATCACCATCTCTGAAGCTAAAGCACCAGCGCTGCTCCTCCCTGGCAGCTGAATGATCCCTCCCTACCAAAAGACAGGTCTGGGATGCTGCCCACTGCGCCACGTTACCTGGTAGGACAGGACATCTGCATGATGGCGCTCCTCCGAGTCCTGTCTCTGCCTCTCCAGTGACTCCTGGGTCCCTTTGAGGGCTTCGAGCTCGGTGGTCTTGGACTGGAGCTGGCGACGGTACTCGCAGATCTCCTCCTGGGCCACGCGCATGGCATCTGTGTTCACTTTGGCAACCTCCGAGAGCTTGTCCAGCCTCACTACAACAGGGAAAAGGAGAAGCTGCAGGGAGGGAGGGAGGCTGCAGTCTCCCCTTCTTGGGGAACCTCAAACCCTTTAATACTGCCCACCCCCCGTGTACGTGTCCTCTGCAGAGCTGGCGCCGGCTCCCTGGGTGTGCCGGCTTCACCGGCCCTTGCCCCGTCTGTGCTCACGCCGTGCCGGGGAGGTGAAGGTGCCCAGGCAGGGCACCCTGGGCTTTGTCCGGTGCAAACCCACGCTGCAA